TTTCTGTAAAATATGTTCGTATCAGAGAGTAGTTGTGAATCTAGTTCTGACGGGTAGAAGACAAAAGACAAAACGGATACTAGTGCTGTTACTATTTTTTCATTATATATAAACATTCGTCCTTGTCTCGGGACGAATGCATATTTTCCACCAAATGTACATTCGGAGGATATCGAAATGTAGGTTAAGCTATTTGAATCATATTTGCAATTAAAACACCCAAACAATGGTATGGAGTGTCATACCAAACATCCACAGCTGGCGGGACCAACATCTCCAGAAACATTTACATCTGCCAACGCTTAATTCGCAAGTGGGGAGGCAATAAGCTAATGAGGCTAAGGGTTTGTGAAATATCTATGATGCCTTATATGCAGTCTATCATCTAAGCATGTCTAGCTATGTATGGCGTTAAGTTACTGCTTGAAGAAAGGCTCCTTTAGAATTTTATTTGGTAAATACATGTATTAGTATTTCCATCATATTGGAAAATACATAGACCAACGCTTAGTGTCTGAATATATATAATTTTGATAGTAACAAACAAACCTATTTAAAATGAAAAGGAGCCCCAGGGAGTTACGAGATTCAGTCCGGCCAGCCATGGCAGTTAGATATGTTTACTTTGTAACCCGACCCCCAAAGTAAGTTAGGTTTCTTGCAGATGTTAACAGACCCTGGACCTGAGGAGATCTAGACTTGCTTCATTTAAGGCTTTAGCATTGCAGAGAGGGCTAGGCAGTAGGGGAAATAATGTGGTTCAGGGACTGTGAGACAGACTAGAAAATGCATGGCAACCTACACTTCATTGTGACTATTTTTAAGGCATCATTTTAAAACACAAGGGTTATTTCCTTTGCGTTAACTGACAGGCTTTCGGTGTCAAATTATTTGAAACTCCGGCCAAAGGTGATGTTAGGCTGTCTGGAAATATGACCTTTTTGCAATGCTTTGGTTGCACATAATGATAAGTGATTGTTGTACATATGATGTTTTTGAAGGATAATCTCAGCTGACTAATACTTTGCACGTGTTTCCCCCCACTCTTTCCATACCCGTAAAAGTTAATTTTCCATATATATGTCTGTCAGAAAATACTGAAAAGTAATTGGATGTCTGAAGTTGGCCACCTGAGGTAGTGACCACAGCACTCTAGTTATACTGCATTGAGAGAGGACAGAACTTGGCAAGATACCAATAAATATGCTTGTCATTTAAACCTTTATCTGATGTTTGTGGAATGTGATTATATAATTGAAGATGCTTCCTGCACATGTAGCCCCAATATAAATGTTGTTAGTCTGTGAATCTTCCAAATTACTTCTTGAAATTAAGATCTTTGCCTTATATCAAAATAATATAATTTCAGTCTTAATTTGCCTATGTCGGGAATCAAACACCGGTTTTTGACCTGACAGGCGAACGCTTCAACCACGAGCATACCCCATCATCCCTTGATACTGTTAAAGAATATACATTGGTACATTTATTATACATTCAAGATTGAACCCAGTTTTGTCACCATATATCATTCAGTTTTTATGTTAGTGACATGATCTGCACACTGATAATTTAAAAAAAAGGAATATAAATAATGATTGTTTTCGATCTTTATCCAATTTAGTTTTCAATTTATCTAGTAATTTTCAGTTTCTATTTCCTGGAAATTCTGTACGAAGGTACTTTTAACAGTTTCACCCAATAACAGTAAAGTATACAGATAAAACGTTTCGGTACTTTAATAGAATAATAAGTAAACATTATATTCCATGATATTGAGATACCAAAATGATTAACATAATTACATAATGTATAACAAATTAGACAGCAAAAAGCAAAAGCAAAAAAGAAAACGCATGAGCAACATAAATGCTGGCAGGTTGTAAGATTTCAAATAATTATCGAAACTGCTTAGTTATGAGCTAATTGCAATCACTACAATTTTCTATAGTCTACCCAAGAGATGGAAACAAAATATGTCTACAGTATATTCCGTCGGGTAACTGAAATTTGAGAAAACGTCCGTATGGGATAATACCTGTATTCCGAATCAAAAAGAGGTCATACCAAGTATGTGCATGTTCACACATTTACAACAGTAATCATTAATACATTGTAATCATATTTTATGAAAGTATAGATAAGGAAATTGGTTCAGTTATGATCAGTCGGATAACTCATACAAGTGAGCACTAAAATTAGGGACCTACCGGTTCATGTCTGTGTGAAAAAATCTGTCTGTGTTTTATTGTAATTAGCAGTGTCTCCTTGTATAGCATATTTAAGAAGTGTACCTAAGGTCAGTTATATAAACTGTTATGTAATTTCCATTTCAAAAAGTATAAACGATATTACCTACTGGTCAGAAAGACTTATCAGTACCCCAACACCGACCCACCGCCACCACCCCACCCTAGGCCTACCCCATGCCACACCCTCCTCCCTCGCACACACACACACACCCTAGCATACATATCGCTCTGGGCCATAGACCCGATATTTGAAGCTTTTAAACAGACACCATGTGTATGTCAAGAAAGACATGCACGTTATTAGTGGTGCTCAGTCATGGGTATCACTTCACCATGTGTTATCTCAGTACATTATGGCGTGCTCGGACGCGCTAACGAACCCTATGTGACAGTTATATTACAGAACCATTGAAATACATGTTAAGGTAGTGCTAATCATGTAACACTATATTTACCCATTTCCAACCATTTACGCATGTGCTAAATATATGACAAATCTGACCCTGGTCATACGAGATTTCAAGGGTATTGAAATCCATGTCCTACAATCACAGCATTTACATATGTTACACATGTTAGGAAACACATGAAAACAATGGCCAGATTTACACACCTGTGAAATACATGTAAATGCAGAGTTGAATGTTGGTTTATTTTAACACCCCTTTAAACGTGTGTAAATCTGACGGCCAAGATGATACGTAGATTTCAAACGTTGTTCATATGGCCGCCGGATGAAACGAGTATTTCCTGACGCTAGTAAAATTGGGTAATACAGTCATTTTGTGTGGTGTTAGTTAATTATAGCGCCATGCTTTAATATCATGTAAATCATCGGTACAGGTATAACCAAAATGTGATTTAACTAAAACAGTAATCCTACAGACAATTTCATTTACCTAAACGTCAGCTTTTCACTTTCCTATTTCTGTCTTTGAGAATGAGTGAGCAAGGATATCCTGTTGATCATGTATGTGTTTATTTATAGCTATGTTGGTTACGTATCTTTTAAAGTGTTCATAGTATGTTGCTGGTCATCCACCCAGTGTACTGGCTTTCATTAGTAATATATATTCAGATTAGATACAGCTGGGAGAATAAACTGGAGCAGATTCCGTGCCCCAGTATAATCCGCAGGGTATGGTTGTAACTCTTTGTGTGTCTTATAAAAACTAGACTTGGGTGATTTTAGTTTTACGCCGCACTCAGCAATATTCCAGCTATATGGCGGCGGTCTGTAAATAATCGAGTCTCGACCAGACAATCCAGTGATCAAGAGCATGAGCATCGATCTGCGCAATTGGGAACCGATGATATGTGTCAACCAAGTCAGCGAGCCTGATCACCCATATTATAGATATTATATGTATATATAGTCAGTGTAGTTTATACCACGATGCTTGAATGTATTTGATTAAATGTGTGAATATATATGAATATAAATATGAATTGTGATTGTGATGGTGGGTGTTGTAAAACAGTGTCGCCGGCATACAACTATACAAGTAAAGCATCGTTTCTTAGTGGTTGTTCAAATTTAACGCCTTTACAGTAGTCCTTCTGTATATAATATACAAGGTCATTTAGAAACTGTGAAAATAATACTGACGATAAATGTTCACCTTGTGGAATGCCAAAACTACATAATGGGTAATCACTCCATTACCTGAACACAAAATTTAACCTTTCGTAACATGCCATGAATAACTTTAAATCACTTTCCAGTTATGCTGTTCAATATAACCCTTTTTCCTTCATTTGAAACAGTTTAAACGTTTTCAGAAAAATCAATAAATGCACAAAACAGTTTTCTATTTTCCAGTTTTCAGAAGTTTGGAAAGATGATAAATTGTAGTGGTCCATTGTAGAATGTAGTGTGAGCTGGTTGTTTAAACTAGATGTAATTAATTTTCAAAAAACAGCTTAAGGGTGTAATAGTTCCATAATCCTCTGACACAGTTTCCGGTGTAGACCATTTCTTTTCATGGTAGAAGTTGCATTCACTGACATGTAAATTATAACTCCGGACACAAATTTAATGTTCGGGTAACAAAGTTACACGAACATTTACAGTATTGTTGATCGACACACCCACAGGGGTTCGAATCATTGTTTGGACAATAATTTAAAAAATGAAAATCTAGATTTTTGCAACCGTATATTGTTCTTATATGTTATGAGGAACTTATATTTCAAATATGAACAAGATCGGAGAAGAAATGGATTTTTCAGAAAATGCTCCCGCTGCACTCATACACTGTATTTTATGTAATCAGTGTCGCGGGAGAATTTTCTGACAAATCCATTTCTTCACCGATTTCCTTCAAATTTGAAATATAACTTACTCATAACATATAACAACAATATACGGTTGCAAAAATCTAGATTTTCATTTTTTTAAATTATTGTCCAAACAGTGAATAGAACCCCTGTGGACACACCCACAGGTGTAGACCCTCAGCCTGGTATGCGACGCCACGCTTGGTTTGCGCTGGGCGAGCTGTTTCTTTCAAATAAACTCCGTCAGACATATATAGTTGGTGGGGTAACATGAGACAGCATACAGAACAGATTCAGCTGGACGGTAATTTTGAAAGTCAATATGTGTAAAGGTGTTAATACTCTTGGTCATGTAAACCTCTACATGAAGGCGCCCATCGTTCAACAACCTGCTCTTCGAGCACAGCCAACAATGGAGGGCGCGACCACAATGACACACCGCTATGTTTGTATTTATGAAATACTTACATCTGTCAGACGGGAGAAATTGTTCTACTCGATTGTCACTCTACCACTAGACGGGATAAATCCAAAACTGCCGTAATTCTTAGTGAATAAAACGAAACACCATCTTGCTGTGATCGTCAGCTATATCACGTGACATAATTGCTTGCGTGAAGAGGTTGTAAGGAGGGGGTTCCCTGACTGGTTTTAATAAGTTGTTGAACGGAGAAGGTGGTCAGGTGAGGTGACATTGAACGTCAGCTTTCATTTCTTATTATACATCACCTTGCGTGCGTGTGTGTGTGCGTGGATGTGTGTCTGCGTTTATTGGTGTGTTGTTATCTACGTAAAGTCTGCCATCACCACCTCAGAATGATTAGCTCAAACCGACGATACATCGCCACAGACTGTGTCCATGCGTTAGTAAGATCTGTTGCGCTATCTAGACTTGACTACTGCAATAGCCTCCACGCTGGATTGAACTGTATGCAAGTACAGGGACTCCAAATAATTCAAAACACTGCTGCCCGTATTGTATGTCTGAAATCTAAGCGAGATCACATAACCCCGTCTCTCATCTTCCTACATTGGCTCCCGGTTAAGTACCGTGTGAACTTCCAAATCCTGTGCTTGTATATAAATGTCTCCACAGTCAAGCTCCAGAGTATCTATCTGAACTTCTCACACTGTACAGGATGTCTAAGATCCCAGAATCAGCACTTACTTACTAAAGTCAGACTTGTCTGCTATGGTCAGGACCGCCTCAGTGGTGTAGTGGTTAGAGCGTCCGCCCGGAGAGCGGAAGGTCGCGGGTTTGATCCCCGACCGCGTCATACCAAAAGACGTTAAAATATGGTACTTGTTGGTCCCTGCCTGACGCTCGGCATTAATGGGTACAACAAGGACTGGTCGGCTCGGAGTCAGTATAACGTGTCTGAGTGGGGTATTTATGCTTCACTGCGGCATGGTATCTCAGTGAGCTAGCACTATAAAGCCAGCTTCAGTCTGGGCTAGTACAAGCAGTCGCACATACACACGCATGCACGTCGTCATATGAGCGAAATATGCTCACATACGACGTAAAACCCAATTTCACCTCACCTCACCTCCTATGGTCAGATACCTTTGCCTACACTGCAGCATGCTTTGGAATTCACTGCCAGATGACGCCAAATGTGCCGAATCACTGAACTCTTTCAAATCCCTTCTAAGAACCCAGTACCTCTCCATAGCTTCCTCTTAGATCTCTTCTTTCTTTGTTAACGCCAGGTATTTGAAATCTCCTGTATACATTGTACATTGCAGGGGTGAAAATAACTTTAATATTGCTAGTGTACTCCGGTACAGTGGCACATGTAAAATCACTTGCCCTGATAATTTTTCCACTATACCGGCCGTTTTCTTGTTGATTTTTTAAATAAACAACATAATCAACATTGGAATATCAACTGGACACCAGTACAGTGTGATATACAACTAAATTTGCTTACCCGACAGAAAAACACATTGGACTCGGGCGTCGGGCAATGGGTTATTTCCACCCCTGCATAGATTTACCCTTTTTGTAGCGCCTTGAGCGAGCATTGAATGCACGGATACAGGCGCAGTTATAAATACCCACAAATATTATTGTGATACTGATTTTAGCATGCTAGCACATCAGCCAGTACTTGTCTATCCTCGTAATGATGAAGTCCCAAGCAGTGTAACAACAGGTACAGAGCGACCGGGATTCGAACCACCGACTTTCTGCTGTCACAACAAACAAACAGGCAAAGAAAGGGAGATGAATACCCAGCAGACATCTGCACATAGAGACTATAGCGCCCTTGGCGACTTCTCCATTGGGGGAATGTATGGTCTATGTAGCACGAATGTTACATGCTACTATCGGGTTTAAAATAACATGATCGGAATAAATATGGCAAATTTTATTTGATCATATTCTTTCACTGGTTAAAACTGAACTGTTATATCTTAAAGTGTTGCCAAGGTATTACATAACGCTACACTCCATATTGTTCCTACTGTCTCACAGCAGCCTGTTGATAATCGAGTGTCGGCAGGACAATGCAGTTTAAGGTAATGTCAAGTTTCCGTTGTTTCCATAGTAACGTCTCCATTTTGATTATCTATAGTGACCACGTTCTATTGTAATTATTCACCTTGTATGTAAAGCATTAAACCACGCCTGCAGAGGCGGACAACTTCCTCATTAACAGAGCGGCGGGAGGAAGGCACTCACCTTAAATTTCACTCAAGAATGATCATGTGCAAAGATAGATTCACTCTAGGATCTCTTGATGCTAGTACTGACACATTCTGAAGTAAAATGACACCAAGATGACATCACTCCACCCTCAGGATCAAAACATTCTCCTGAGAAATGTGAAATATACACTATTTTTATTTTGGGGAATAATACAATACTTCTCGAAAAGGGTGTAAAATGCTATAGTTAACAGCTAAGGGAGACAACTGATAATTTTGTGAATGCTTCATTTACTTTTGGTTATGGGAAACTTAATACATATATACACTGTGACTCGAATTTGAATGTATCTGCAGTTGAAAAAGAAGTGCACTTAATCACTTCATTTCATTTGTATCACAAGTTGAGAAGTTTTACCAAGTACTTGTACAAGTAATTCATGTAATGTAGACAAACTTAACGAAGGTATGGCAGATAGTACTAAGTCAGAATCTCTAGCACTTTCTTACTTCATGTCATTTGTATAATAAGCGACCCGTGAAGATGCCGGGGTAGAATAGATCTTCAGCAACCCATGTGCTTGCCATAAAAGGTGACTATGCTTGTCGTAAGAGGCGACTAACGGGATCGGGTGGTCAGGCTCGCTGACTTGGTTGACACATGTCATCGGTTCCCAATTGCGCAGATCGATGCTCATGCTGTTAATCACTGGATTGTCTGGTCCAGACTCGATTATTTACAGACCGCCGCCATATAGCTGGAATATTGCTGAATATTGCTGAGTGCGGCGTAAAACTAAACTCACTCACTCACTTGTATAATAAGCTGAGAAAAACTATTTTTTACAAAGTATGTGTATATGTTATGACAGGTAACACTATGTCAGAATCTTTAGCACTGTATGTTCTAAAGTGCACACAAATCAGACAGCTGTACGTCAACAGCTAAGGGAATAATATACCAGGAATAAACAGAAATTGTAATCTTTGTAATTCACCGTCGAATTCCACTATGTATTTTAATGCTCGTTCTTTGACAACAAAGATCCCAATATACCCAAACTGTTAACAGTAAATGGCCGAATCTTGTAAAATTTAGACTATTGTTTACCTCAGATGATTATTCACTTGTTATATGAATATTTCAAGATTTGTAAGAATTATCAATAACACTATAACAAGATAAGCACTGATATATTCACTGTTACCAAGTGATCATAACAACTCATCATGTATGGTATTACTTTATTGTACTGTTCCTGTACCACCAATGGTGGTTTGTCGGAATAAATTTTAAATTGAATTGAATTGATAACGAGTATCGGACATAATCCGGGACTAGTATTTCTTAAGCTTACAGAGCCAAGGTGCAATACATGTATCGGTCCTCAAGACTGTTTGTTTATATTCCACGTTGGTCAAATCACTTGCATGCTACATATACCTTTGTGGCATCCTCGCAACTGCCCAACCATTGTACACCTTCTTCATCGATGCTTCTGTCAAACTAAATGATATAATCTCAAGTTTAATCAGTAAATGCGATTATCTGCCATAGCTGGATACGATTTGTAATACGGACGACAGTTATAAGTCATTCTGTGGGTGTCTAGTAAACACACGTTTATTCACTCAGGTAAGAAACCTTACTTTCCTCTGCTTTGTCAAATCTTTATGCTTTACGTCTTAAGTTTAATCTATCGTTCCTTAAATATATGTTACGACACTTGGCAGTATCTTGAGGTTCCTTGTGAAAAGTGGCATCCTTTCATGCATTCCTCAGATATTCTGTATTACTGTTTATGATAGTTTATTCCAATACGGATTAACACTACGCTGTTTTGGGACCATTATAGAATGTAGATTGTATGAACGCCCACTGTGGTGCATCCACTCCAGGGTATACGTTACGATAACTCTCCACTGATCGTAACGTATACCCTGGAACGTAACGTATACCCTGGATCGTAACGTATACTCTGGACATTATAGAGGATGACTCTGGTGAAGTGTTAGTGTATGTCGAGAGTGCTCTATTCAATAATACGTAAACTGCTGTATGAGATTGTGTACCCTGATATTTCTTTTTACTAATGTATGTGCTTTGTTCAATGACATGTAAACATGTACAAACTTGAAATGACAAAACCATATGCATAATCAATTTCTTTATTTTCACAATTGCGACGTTTCGGTGTAGCGTCTTATACAGTTTTCAAGCGTTTTTTTTACAAGAAACCGTACCGAAACGTCCCTGTTGTGAAAATAAAAAGTTGATCATCCATAAATAAAGGTTTGTCATCTCTATGCCACCAACTTCTACAAAGTCACTCAAACAAGTGACCTAAAATGTTGTATTAGATTGTGTACCTTGATATGTATCGTGACTAATGTATCTTTTGTAATTCCTTCATGCCTTTGCTGTTTCTGATTGTAACGTGCTATAAAACTTGATTGTATATGTATCTCGGATCCATGGCAGGCCTCAAATCCATCGCAGATTTTGAAATCCATGGCTAGTTGCCGTACCTACCCTAATCTGTGGCGGATTTCCTACTCATCGCCATTAGAACATTTCAGCTCGGTAGAATAGGTGTTATTTCATTTATGTGTTTCTAACTTACTGATACCCCTGGACCTAGGTTTTCGAAGCTCTGTTAGCGCTAAGATCGTCTTTCGATATTGCTAATGTTTTTACGACTATCATAGAAGTAAGAGAGCTTCGAAAATTTAGGCCATGCTAATTATCGAATACGTTTGCTTTCTTCTTAATATTCAACAATACATGAAGAAAGACAAAAGAGTGAATAACGTGTGAAACATTTTATTTATCATACATCTAAATCTGTCCATCATGGATCTGATGTCTGGTCAACTGGAACCTATGGGAGCTTTGAGTGTCCGTAACCTCTTACACTCGGCCACAGTTA